TACTTCTACCTTTAACTGTTTAGAATAAAATGCAGGAGAGAATAAAATGCAGACTACTCCATGAGGAAACATCATACAGTCTTTCTTTCTCAAACCTAATACCAGATCTCTGTCTTCCAGCATCATAAGCTTTTCTCACATTTTGTTCAACCCCCCCCAACAAATCCTCTGTTCTTATCCTTGCAATCTCAAGCTGACAAACTGATCTTCAGAAAAACTGGTCCAGTATCATAAAGCTACTTACTGCTTTGAACACCGATGGAGGACCCAAGAGCTTCAAACTGCTCTGAGATTTGAAAGGCCAGCTCCCTTGTTGGTGTGAGGACAAGGGCAAATAATCGCTGAGGTGTTTCCAGCAGTGCTTGAAGAATTGGCAAAGCAAAGGCTCCTGTTTTCCCAGAGCCTGTTTCTGCCAGCCCAATGACATCTCTGCCTATGAGAAGGAGCAAGGAGGGCAAAAACTGTTATATAGCTAGAAMAGAGAAAAAGCACTTTAAAGCACTGTGCAGTAAAACACAAGAATTCCCTGAGGGCATAAAAAAGCAGACACACAGAAGGTAAAAAGAAGGGATAAACCAAAGAATTTCAGAATCTCTGTGAAGCATTTTTAAACTGCGATTTTATTTGTACAGTGATTATAGTCTCCATATCCAATTTTCTAGTTAAAATTCTGCTAATACACAGGGCTTCATATAAACTTTAGGTTCAAAAATAAGCTTTATTATGTCTGAAATCAGACATCGGTTTACAGCTTAATGACTCTATTTTAGTATTCTAGTCCAAATGTTGTCTRTTTCCAGGCTTACAAGGAAATAGACTGCAGTGCTTCAGACCTCATTCACACAATCTACAAGACAACAGCACTACCAAACTCACATTTCACAAACCACAATTGTGCCATTAAGAGAGTAATCTAAACCAGTTTGCAGCAGGAAGGGTAGGACAGCAAGTCCTTTGTCCAAAAGAAATGCAAGCAACAGGGTGGAATTCATGAGCAGAATCCATTATGACCTCCTAAGTTCATACACCCAAGAAGAACGTGCTATGAACTGGCCTTACACTAGAAAAAAATTCTTCAGGAATGCAGTCTTACTTTTGTGTTTAGCCTTTTTTCCCCCAAGACAATCTTATACACATAGYAAAAGAGTCTCACAAAAGTTAAATACTAGGACAGAGTAGATAATAAAAGTTGGCTCCCATTCTATCACTACATTGCTCTTTTCTTCCTTGACAGTGTTTCGGGAGGTTTTGTTTAAAATAAGTAATTCTAGAGGCAGAAATATGAGCTGAATTCAGTAATTTATTTTTTTGTGATTCCAAGATGCTTACAGAAAAGCATCGTGGTTTGGTTATTACCCACTTCAGAAATCAAATTCCAAAGAGTTACCTGCTCACAGCAAAGCAGATTATACACACTACTGAATCAGCCAAGGCATCTTCACTTTCAGACACACACACACACACACACAGTCTGTAAGTCTCCATCAGAAGCAGCACAGGCCAAAACCTACTGGAAGCTTCCTGTGTATCCTTGGGTATTTCAGGAAAAAAATGGTCATGTGGACTAGCAGTTCAAGTGATTCATAAGAATTCTATTTAACACAGAGTGTCAGAACTACACAACACTAGTGAACACTCAAGGAACAATATTTGTATCCATTTTAACATTTCTGATTGCAGGCAGTGTTATAGGATAAACTCGTATTTCAAGCTCCACTTGGGAAGGACACAGAATGAACACAAAAACTACTTCTAGACAGAGATCCTCAACAATGAAGAAGTTGGAACATTCTCATCCCTGATCCTTCTCAGTCGGCATAACTTATTCACACAGAGTTCCTGGCGCATTCCCCGATTCAGGATCAAGGAAAAACACTGCTCACCTTGGAGAGCCACCGGAATAGCCTCAATTTGGATCTTTGTTGGCACCTTCCATCCTAACTGGTCACAAGCTTCACACAGGACATCTGTCACTCCCTGAACATTTGYGACAAGAGAAAAGGGAAACAGACATCACCAAGAAGACCTAAATTAAATCAGAGTTAAGTTAAATACATGCTGCAACAGACCCAAGCTTGTCTCTGGCAGAGACAAACCCCACCAGGCCACCAATGCAACTCTGAAAGGGCAGGCTGCTCACAGTAATCCCCACCTCCACSAGTAACTTCATAGGATTTTTTCAAAATCATCTTTTAGAGATGATTGTCATCAGGAGGAAAATGGTCGGTTTTACCCTAGTTTACACAAGGAACTTCCCCCCAGACACAGCTGTCTCCGTTCATCTCATGGGGTGACCCATGACCATGGAAAACAAAAAACACGCCATAGCGAGTTAACTCAACTAAAGACACCGGCAGCCGGCAGCGGAGCGGCGATGGGAGCAGCAACAGCAAACCCGGGGGGCAGCGGCCGAGTGCCCACAGCTCCTGCCCGGCCCGGCGGCGCACGTGTCCCCGCAGGCACACGGAGCGCTCGGCTCCACCGGCCCGGTGTGCGCAGCGGGAGCGGGGCGCTGCTCCCGGGGACACGGCAGCGAGCACCGGCGGCACAAGCGGCTCCGGCCCAGCCTCACCAAGTCCTTGAAGCTCCGTGGCTCCTCCACCGCCGGCTCCKGCTCCTGGTCCTGCTCCGGCTCCCGCTCCGATGCCGACCCTTCCTCCTCTCCTGCCGCCATCTTAGGCCGTCCCCTCCCGGTGCGGCGCAGAGCACTCTGGGAGCTGTAGTCCTCCTGGGGTGCGATGGGAGTTGTAGTTCCGGAGAAAGAGCCGAGCGRAGCGGGTGGGTTTTCCCTCGAGTCCCAGGGGTGCCCAGGGAAGGGGAGGATTCGGATCTACAGCCGCAGCCTGGGACAATTGGCTGGGGGAAAGAAAACCTTCCTGCCTGCCCAGCGGTAACCCCGGGCGGCTGAACCTCCCGCCTGCAGCTGAGCCCAGCGCTGCGGTGCTTGGGCAGTGTGTGATGCTGTTCCCAGCTCACACTGGAAGGAATGAGAAGGGAGAGTCTTTGCAAACAGACTGATTCTGGGGGTAAGATAAGGCTAATACTGGGAGATAGAAGGAAACAATTGGGAAGAATTCCCATAGGAATTCCTTTGATTGACTTATCCCAGACTACGTTAATAGACTACAAGAGCGGAGATACAGATATGTATATTGAAAGGGAGCAATGTATGATCGAAGGGGGGTTTCATCAGGCGTTTTGGGGAGCCTGTACCTCTCAAGTACCTCAGCCAATGGGGAAAGACAGAGGGAACTGCAGCCGGGAAATTGAGATAAAAAAGAGGCTGCATCCTCTATAAATTTGAGAGACCCCATGGGAAATGCCCATGACCTCTCCCTTTATTCATCAATAAAGTTATGGGACTCCTCTGTCTCCGTTTTGGACATAAACCTCTGGTGCTTGTGGATTAATTTTCCTAACAATACCTTCCACAGCTGTGAAAGAACATGGCAAAATGAGCTGGCCAGGCACAAAAAGACAAGAATATTTATAAACTTACATACATGATGTGTAGAAAGAAAAAAATAACTGCTTCGGAAGTGCTGGTATGAAACATTTTTAAGCATTAGTGATGGGAAGAGGGAAAAGAACTGTCATTATCCCACATTGTTTTCCTGTTTATGGTAATTGCTAGTATGAATTTTTGAAGTGTCAGAAATACAAAATCAGCTAAACCATGTCAACTCACATCATGAAATAAGAGAGTACAGGATGAGAATAGATGCAAACACCCTGCCAGCTCTCTTGATTGCTGCTCTCGTGACTTAGGCCTGCAAGTGCATGAGAGGTGAAAATGGATATGCATTTAATGATATTTCAGGGAGTGCAGTATCAAAATATCATTGTGATGAAAGTTCCTGAGTTACTGTTTCCACCTGGTCTGGGTGTAATATCTCTGATCTGTAGTCCCAATGCTGACTGCAGCAGGGCAACCTTGCAGCTAGGTGAGCTTTCTTTGTTTTAGGGAAAATAAGGCTAACATATGCAAGATGTTAGGGTTATGTGTTTGGGCTTCAAAAGGACAGCAGAGCTGGCTGCAGAATGAAACTCACGTCTGCATTTCAGAGCAGACCTCCCTCTACCTGGGAAGGCCAGCTGGGCATGCTCTCAGTGGAAATGCTGATGTGCTTCAGCATCTCTCACTGGATTCCAGGCATGGCATTTCCTCTGCTCCCAGAACAATGAGGAAAGTGAGAGGAAGTACGAACAAACTCTCTGTGTGACAGGGAAAGAAGAGGAAACCTGAAACAATTCATGGCAGGAGTGGCAATGAGACTGCTGCATCCCACTATGCTCAGGAGCATAAAAACAAAAAAAAAGAAAACAAAAACCACCCTCTGTAAATGCTCTTTGTGACCATATGTTTCAAAAATTATAGCAGTCTGAGCCATGAGCTTGCTAAGTATCTTTAGTGCTAAAGATTAAGCTTGGCCAGCATGTAGACATGAACCCCTGTAAGGGTCACTGGGATGCCTCAGGAAATGGAGTCAGGGATGTGACAGGAAGTCACTGCTTGTGATTCTTGGTTGAGATCATCGCCTATATATTATGGTACTGTTTTACTGGGGAGCAGGGTGGAGAAATTCTATTCTGGTGACATTTCAATTATTGTAATTTTCTTTTGTCCATAAATGTATTTAAATGAAAGTTTTCTCCTGTCCTAATCTGCTGTTGAGGACATTCATGCGGAATAAAATAAATACACAATTTCTAAATAGCAATTCCCTTTCTGTGCTTTTCAGCACAGGACACTGCAGATTATACTGGATTTAGAAATTTTCACTCCAGGGCGTTTAAACTTGGCTTTTGATCAAATATGTTCCTAGCTCTGTTGCATGTTACAGCTCAGTCTTCCTCAGCAGGGGCAGGGTGAGAGCATCGAACTTTAGTGCAGATATAATGTCAGCTGTTTCACAAAGGAAACATAATGAGATGAGATAGACAATGTGTACAGCWCGTCAGGTCCAGGTGTGCAGAGAGACATTGACACAAAAGTGCTTCATTTTCATTTATTTGAATCAGCAGTTTACTTGTTAATTTCTGGCAAACAGGCATGGGTATCGCAAGCATTTCAATGAGTCCCACTCCAAGGAACCAGAGCTTTTATTCTTCCTATATATGGAAACAAATGTTGATATCATGAGAAGAAGAGACAAAAAGGACAAGGATTCAAGCTTTGTGACATGGAGTGTTGCCCTTCCTAAGAATTTGGTCAATGTTACAGATTTACAGAGCAATTTTTTCAGATCATTTGTATTTGCACCTGTGCCAGGAAGTTTCCCTTATCCACCGGGGCATGCTTGTGGAGGGAATTACCTCTGCATTAAATCTTCTGGTTGTCTCAAGTTAGTTTCAGGGGCTCTTTCTTTTACCTCTTTTAGGTACTGACATGATCCCCATCATCACTGTACTCGAGCACATTTAAGCATTTGTCCCAGAAACATCCTTTTGAGGTATGAGGTAAGGAAGTACTATCCCCATTTTTTAGACAGGGAACTGAGGTACTGATGGGTCAAAAAATCACAAAGGGAATATTTAGCAGAACAGTCATATGAAACAGGGTCTCAGTCCTTGCTCCTGCTTTGTAGGGGCTCTGCCACTGAATCATCCTACTCCTCTCTACCTCTCTGATTGTTAGCACCCGCACRTATTTCACTAATATGAAGCCTTCCCTGGGAAGCAATGCTAGGAATGTGTGYAGCTCTCCGTGAGTGCTGCTTCCTCACAGGTGATCCCCTGTGGGTCTCACAGGCTGYTTGACTGCATGGAGAGTGGCCCCTCCACCTCTCAGGTGTGCTCMCATCACAGCAGAGCTCCAGCTCAGACCAGTAACACCAACCTTCCCTTCCCTTCCTGCTGCAAGAGACATAACTGCTTTCTTCCACCAGTGCCCTGAGGCAAACTCTGGTCCCAGGGTCACTCTTCTTCTCTCTGTTTTGGCTCCTAAGATCTGTTGTCAGTGTTAGGCTGTGTTTCACCTATTTTATAACTATCTGCATTCAGCTCATGCTTTCCTTTTCCTACAGGGACTTGCCCTCTTTCACAGCAAAATAACAGGTAACTTGCTCTTACATGCCACAGACTTGCTTTTACTCTGATAGAAACTGCTTTCCTTTGGAACAGAGGCCTCCTTTTCCTTAAAAAAAAATAATAAAAAAAAAAGCACTCTTAAATACAATGTCATAACCTTAAAATAATTCTGTGTAAATAAATAGAACATAAACATCACAGTTCTCAGTCTGGAGAGGTTTCTTCAAAAGGGATAACAAATTCTGGCCCTGCTATTTCACCCTGGGGTGGTGAACTATCCATACAGTCTGTTATATCTGGAGCTGCTTCTTTCTACAGCATTTCCAGATGTACCTTGTTAATGGAACTGTACTCTGCTGGAAATTGGCAGTCGCTGGCTTTTTAGGGTACTCCAGCCCTTGTACCACACACGGATTCATAAGTTGTTTACAAACTAAGTTCAGTCAGCATCAGGTATTTCATCAGCCTCCTCATCCACTTCTTTTTGCTGCCTTGGGGAAGCAGAGCAGCGGAGATGGCTGGAGGAAACACGGGTCTGCAGAGCATCTGTCTGCCCCATCCTGCAGGCTCCAAGGTCTGCTGCTGTGTGTGTCAGAGTCTGTGTGTCCATCTCAGCCTCCAACCCGGGTCAGGTGGCTGCTGTCACTGGGTGTGGGGGGGTGTGTTTGTGTAAGCTTTGGCTTCCTGTCGGGCAGGAGTTTGTGTTTGGATATGGATGAAGCACATGAGATGTGCGTACCTGTGTGCGTCAGCACCATAAAACAGGTAGAGGTGCTAATGGTCACAGTTAATGATGTAATGTCTCCAAACCCAGTTTTAATAAGGGCCAAACACTGTTTCAGCTGGATGTCTCAGGATCTCAGCAGCGGTTTTAGCCCCCAAGCTCAGTCTCCTCGTGCAAGGGGAAAGCTCGGCTCTGGACTCAAGAAGGTCACAGACTTCATCCATTGCCCTGGTGCAGGTCTCCAGGTTGTCAGCCAGCTTCTGGATTTTGGCTTTCAGCACAGCCTGGCTTACTTTTGTGACCTCCTTTGTGTATTCTGGCACRAGGAAGCTGTGGGAGCCACAGCAGACCATGAAGCAGACAGACTTGTAGAGGGAGATTGATGCCCTCTTCTCTGACTGGCACAGCACGGGATCACCTGGGCCCTGCCCTCGGCAAAGGAACTCCAGGCAGCCGAGTATTTCCCTCATCTGTTTCCGACAAGTCGTTGCAATTTCCTGCACCTTCCTCACCTCTCGGGAATTGCAGAGCACCAAGGAGAGGTCAGAAGTGATGCTGACGGCTCCCCCAGCAGTGGCCAGGCCCAGACCCACAGCTGATGCCAGAAGAGAAGCTCCCAGGGTTGCTGGGCTCAGGGACAGTCCCAGGATGGCTGTGACAGCTCCTGTRGCGGTCAGGGTGTTCCCGCTGATGTTGGCGATCACGGACCTTTTGCGGAGCTTGTTGAGTTTCTGAGCTGCCTTGCGGAGGTGAGCAATTTGACCACGCAGCCTCTGTCTCTGATCCAGCAGGGCAACGTGGAAATGGTGTGTGGGGTCTGGCATCTGCAGGAAGGCAGCGCTGTTCRTCTCCATGGCTTCTGTTCAGAAACAGAAAAGTCTGGATTGGGATTTATGTCAAAAAAACCCATCACCATTTCAGAGATGGCATTCAGCCAAATTTTTGTTGCTTCACTCAGCCACAACAAAGGTTTCTCACCTGCACACAMATGCACACTCATGTACACACACATACCCATTTGTGCATATTGCATATTCCATTGTAACTTTCAGACAGTGAAACTTTTAAAAGTTTTCCTTACTCCCTGTAAAGACTAAAATATCCTAAGGGCTGGAATCAGAGGTGTTGTTGYCATTATCTCTGTCAAGACACAAAATGTCTCTTCAAACCCTGGGGACTGAAATTCCCCTGAGATTAAGGGAATCAATGCCCAGAATAGTAATGCTGCCAGAACTAATGTGTTGTACCCCTGATGGGATTCAGGGGATCTGCAATATAGAAGGACATCTTTCACAAGAAAAGTCAGACTCTAAGGAGGTGAAAGCCACCATCCCAGGTTTTCATTTAGGGGTTATTTCCCATTAAAGGAGGACAGAGGGAAGCTGCTGAGTGGCATCTACATCTGGCTTTTCCATGTAGGAGGTGAGCAGCTTATTGATGCCTTGGATGGGTATTRTGAACATCCTTCCTTTATTCCACAGTGCAACCTGTGGTTGTGGATCCCCATTTACAGTGGCAGGGGGGCCTAAGGACCTGGTTTAAAATATTCATGAAGAGCATAGCAGAAAAGCAGGCCCATTTTTAGTGTGCACACCCTTGGGGATGGGGGAACAGAGCGAATACAAGACACGTGAATGGAAGAAGCTTGAAAACTGCTGGCTATGGCAAACCTCCCCTGGCAAGAGAGAAGCAGTGCCTTCTCTTCTAGAAGATGAATCTTCAGGGTTTCCCTGCTAGATGACCTCTGTTTGCTGTCTCTGTTATTTGTCACAAGGCCAGAAAGAAATGCTCYAATAACCATTTTCAGGTTGCTCTAAGGCTGCAAAATGCTTTACAAAAGAAGCCAGCATCCTTAACCTTGCTTACAGGGAACCTGATGCAAGGGAATCAACAGGAATGAAGTATCTGATTGTCTGGTGGAAGCAGAGTTTCTGTACTTCACAGGCCCGCATTGTGCACCCAGATGTGCTGCCTCTGCACCTAGCAAGGTCCAGCCACAGAGCTAAGAAGCTGTTTGCAGTCCATAATGCCCTCATAGCCAAAAKGAATCTCTGTAGCAGAAAGGCCCTGTCACAAAGCCAGCTAAGCAAAACTATTTATTGCTGCAGGCACCTTTTCACTCCTAGTCTTTCTGTACTGTGGGAACAGGAGATGCCTAGTGCCTCACAAAGTTGCACTATGTAGTTAAGATCCTTAGGACATCATTCTGCAGAATCCTCATGTCACAGAAGGAGAAAACTTTGTACAGTAAATAGTCTTTCTATCCTGAAGTGTGCATACAAAAAATTCTCACTGCAATCTTTCCCCCTTTCTCCTTGCTTGTCCTAATCCATTTCACACAGATCCTTTAAAACCTCCCCCTATGTGCTTCAGAAAATGTCACAGTCCCTCTTGGTGTCATTGAGTCATTTGAATCACTTTGTACATTGGGCTTCTCTCCACTGGAGGTAGTGGTCTATTATTTTTACCTTATAATCAGAGATAAAGTCGGAAGCACAAGGACTAACAATAATCTAAATGGATACCAGCATTGAAGGGACCAATGAGAATATCACCAATAACTTAACAACAGATCAATATGATGATCATTAAATATATCAGCTCCTGTAACCTCTTAACAAATCGTTCTAAAGATTTAATGACTGAGAACTGTCTCAGGTAATAACAGCAGCTATCTCACTGCATTATTGGAACAATCATTCAATATATATCATAAGCCATGTAGTAATGCATATCCTTTGATGCTGATAAATGCCAGCATAAAGGTAAAAAGTCCAGCTCCTGATCTTAGAGAAAAATCTCCCCAACAATAAAGATATACATTATTCCAAAACCTACAAGCACTTTCCTAATGGAATACTCGGAAACACTCCAAAAATGACTGGTTCAAACTTACCTTCAGTTTCCAGCTGCTGTCCCAGAAGACAAATTTTGATCTGTTTCTGGAGGAGACCAATTTATAGCTCCTGCGGACCAATTGCTGCGATGGGAATGCTTTGCCTCATACTGGGAGTTTGCCATTTCCTGTTCTCCCTTGTGCAGGAGGATGTGACACAGTGGAAAGTGACCTGTGGGACAGCGAGCACACATCATGTTCAGGAAACGATCCCTGCGAATGGACATTGTGTGTTCGCTTTTCCTGAAGTGTAGCATGAAAAAAAAATTTAAAATTGCAGCCTATTCCTGGCTCTGAGGTAGTGCAGACATCCCCTGCAGGGAGCAGTTGCCTTTCCTTTCCCTGAAATAGCAACTGACTTTACTCTGTGCTGGAGCCGCCAATTGCTTGGTGACTTAAGTTTCCCTCTGCCACATGTCTGGGGCCCGTGGAGCTCTCAGCCAGCCAGCTACTCSGTTCAAGGCCAGTGTACTTTCAAAATCCCAGCTCTTTGGGACAATCCATAAAAGGGAAGCAGCTCCACAGCAAGATCATTKCTCTGGATTCCTATCCCTTCTCCTTCTCAGTACATAAAAACTGAGAAAGTTTTTATGAAAGCTGCAAAAAGAGCGATCTCTCTGTGTTTTTACTCTGTTTCTTAACCACGAGCATCACAATGGTTGAGAAACAACCCTGTTGTTTTCCTAAGGTGCTTGCCCAGCAATCAATATTCAAAAAGAGAGGATCATTTGGATCCCCTGTTTTGCTGCCTCCTGTTGCCTGGCAGTCGTGCCATTCGAATGTGGCCAGACCACAATGAYGGTATTGGGGAGGAACAGATTAAGTGCTGCTTCTGGTGCTGCCTTCCATGCTGAACCAGGGCCAGTTTTAATCAAAGAGAGATTCTTYTGATGGGGTCAGGAAAAATCACATTTTTGATGGCACTGAGTGGTAGATCAAAGTGTCAGACCAGAGTAGCATGTGTCTCTATAAACACAGGACCTGTGGTGCTGGGGACACTTCTTTTGAGCTGCTGTGCTTGAAGATGGGACATCTACTTCCTTGTTTGGTGGATTCTTACTCTTCAGGACTATTTGTTGACAGGGAGGCTCTGATTGTGCCCTGGAGCTCCCCTCACCTATCTGGGGACCTGAAAGCTCTCTAATTGTCACTGGTGAGGCTTTCCTGTTGAATTTGTGAGATCTGTAGCCACACAATTGCAGGAGCTGACTTTGAAAAGAGCCAGGACTGAGGCAGCARGCAAGGGAGAGTAGAAGGCTGGGATTATTCGTTTGAATGGTAGATTTGTTTTTGATGGTGTTAAAATAGGTGTGAAAGAGTTTTGTCRGGGGTGGAACTACAGGGGATGAAACATGAATGAAAAAATAAATAGCATGGAAGGGTTATTTCAACTTTTCACAGACAAGACAAGAGAAAACATCATTTTGAAGATGCCTGAATATGTAGTCCTGGTCTATTATAATTTGTACATACTGCACGTTAACAGGAAGGTGAGCTTTGACACTGAAGGAAAYGGTGCTTTAGCCCTTCCCTTTGTTTTAGCAAGTGTGTGCTTGAATTGGAGCCTGTCTGCCTTGGCAAGGATTTGCAGTTGATAGAGAATTCTTTTCCCACACTCTCAACAGAATAGGGCACTTTTTTTTAATGTAACTCTATCTGAATTCATGCCTGTAGATGTGTCCTTGTTAGGGACAGAGAGTTTTGGTATAGGTGAAATAACAAAGAAAAGGAAAAAAAGCTGGTCTACATGAGCCTAAGATGATGACAGTTTTGGATACTCTATTTCCTTTTCCAGTGCTCTTCTTTCAATAAACTCAGTTGCCCAATATTGTCAGAAATGCCTGCAATTCTCAGTATGTGGGCAAGGACCTGATTAGACTGCAGGAGGGACAATTTACTTTTCTTAGAGAATTCCCTCACAGACTTTCCTGCCCATTGAAAGACCTGCACTTCTCAAGATGAGATTTTGGTCTCAGCCAAGGATGGTTTCTCACAGAAATCATCCCATGGCTCCTTCACCATTTAAAGAGAGAGAATAATCCCCATAATCCACCCCTATAATAAGGTGCATACCTGGAAAGTATGGACTTCACATGACAAGCTACAGATGTCAACTTGATTTTAGAAAAGAGATKTGTATTATAATAGGAAACATTATTTCCTGGGGAGTGGCTCTACCACAGCATTTTGTGATTTGTTCCTGTCCCTGCTGACACTGTCACAAGCATTCCTTTGGTGAGAGTGCTGGTCTTCTCTCCCACTGCTAATTAGAAAGACCAGCTCCAGCAAAGGTGAGCAGGTGGCAATGGGAGCCGGATGGGAGAAAAGTGTCTTCTCTCAACACCTGCCAAGGACTGAAAGGCTTGTAGTGCCATTAGTGCACTTGCCCAGATGTAAATACATCTGCAGAGTCACCARGCAGACTCCAGGAGCCTGCTGGGAGTGAATCTTAGTATATCAGGGATCTCCAGACTTGTGGGGTAAGTCTGACCTTCACTGGCAGTCCTGCAAGCTGGCAGAGGTCTGACCATCCTGCCTRCTATACACTTTCACCCAACCCATCTGCTGCTCCTGTCTCTTTGTGACCTGTGAAGCACTTGGGCTTGATGGTGGACAGGGCACTGCAGGTGTTTCACAATGACCCTGGCCAGAAATGGAACCTCTGCTCCACCCTTTCCCATCTAGTCACATCCTCATGAAGTGCACGAGGGCATTTTGTGGGAGCAGGTGACCAGAAAAGGGAAGAAAGGATGCTTTATTGCCTCAGCTCTCTTCCTTTCAGAGGATTTTGGCAGAAAGGACTGCTCTTTATGCTTTTTGGTCTTTCCAGCAGAAGGGATGTATAGCAGAAGTGTTTGCAGCTACTGTGACGTAAGATTTGAATGCAAATGTGTAACATTTGAAACTGGAGTTTAAACCTTTATTAATATGGTTTTGATCAAATAACTGAGAAAATTTGAGTAAATCTACATATGTACCATCTTTTAAACAAATTTCTGCCATGCTTGGTACTTTCAACCTTAACTGCTTGATCCTGGAGCTGAAAGCTCCATTTTTTCACTTTTATTTTCTTTTTTAACTGAAACAAAGACAAATTCACAGCAAGATATTAATTCAGAATCAGTGGAAACTAGAACAGGCCAAAACTAAAAGAAAGCAAAGTAACCTTACCAGAAGATCCAAATTAATTTTTGAAAGCATCCCAGAATGAGACAGGCTGCTCTGGGCTCTGGTCACYGGTGTATGGAGGACTTCAGCCAGGTTTGAAGAAAGTGGCAAAGAGCAGAGCAGGGTGGGGGGATCAGGAAAGCCTGTGGGATGAGAATACCTCRTTAGTTCCATTTAAGCAGAAAATTAGTCAAGCACACTGACTGTGCTTGCTTTGTGAACAAGCACTCATGTAACAAAAATACCATTCTAAATTGCCTTGTCAAAACACTGTTAGCAGTGTTTGCAGAGATCAAGCGYTTATTTGAAAATGGAGTATGAATTTCTGCAATGTATTTAAACAAAGCAGCTTATGCTGCCATTTGCCAGCTTAAATTACATGTTTCAGTGCAGGCTGTGGCATGAGACTAACRCACAAAGAAACAACTCCCCACGTACCCCAAAAGCCTCCAGCCTTGACTGTGGCTCAGCTGGTGTCACTCAGTGCAGCCACACGCACGTTCTGCTGAGACCAATGTGCTGGAGGACTTTTCTCTCTTCAGTGTCTGAGCAGCACTGCAATGAACAATTCTGGCTGCCCATTCCCTCCAGGATTGTAGAAAACAGAGAACTGTTAGCATATTTCCAGAACTGGAAAGCACTGTAATAGGTTGGTAAAAAGTAGGAATTAGGTAATCTGGTTTCTTGTGTCTCTTTTCCAGTCGACTTAGTGATGGCTGAGTTCACTAAGCAACATTTCTCTTGGAAGAAAAGAGTCTGGATTCTTCTCACCTTCAAAAACTACTTATTTTTGTGATGCTTTCAAGGAGTCAKGGTCTTTAAAACCATGACTGCTTTGCCACATTCTGGCTGAGATTGCCTAGGAAGCTCAAAAGCGATTRTCATTACATTGACAAACCCTCCCATCTGGCACAAAAGAAACATGACAGAGACACAAGGGCCTAAAAATGTCCAGGAAAAGTTAAAAACTGTTCCCCTGAACTCAAGATAGAGATGCATCTCACCTAATTTCAACCCTCTTTAGATGCTGATATGCAGTTTATTCACGTTTTGAAGCTCCCTCTAGAGCCGGGAGAGGAACAAGGCATCCCAAAAAGCTGGTTGTCCATCTCTTTCAGAAAGCTGCTCTGTAACGCCTGACAAATTATASAGAGCAATTTTTTATTCCTTTCCTGCCTCACTCATTGTCCCACAGGTTTCTAGGCTTATGGAAGATGACAAATGCTACACGGGTGGCTTCTAGGATTAGCCAGAGAGGAATGTATTGTTGTGGTTTGTTTCAGTATGTGTGTTATAGTGAAAGGAAKCAGAAAAGCCCAGGTCTGATGTGTAAGTTCCTGGGGAAGAAAATTAAAAGCAGAATGTTTATGCTCCTGTGCTGCTGAAAAGCTCCTGCTGTGCARCTTGCAGCCAGAGAAGGATGTGGGCAGTGGTTTTACAAAGTACATGAGAATAAGATTCCAGCAGGACTTGAGAACACTTCTGAACTACAGAACCCTTGCACGAGGGGGTTTGGATCACTTAGATCCAAAGAAAAATGGGCATCTGGCTGTGAGCATGMAGTGTGGCCTTCTGCACCTCCCAAATATTTGTCAGATGGGTACCACTGCTTGCGTCCATACTAAACTCAATATTTGGCAGGAGATATTTGGCTGTTGGGATGGCCTTTTTGTCCATCATCCATCAAGTCTCTGTATTTGACAAACCTGCTTTGAAGAGTGTTTGTGAATTCTGACAAATTGCATTCTTGATATAAGATCAGGTTTTAAGCCAAATCCACAAGACTAATATCTCTTGTAGTATCATAGGGCTCCCCTCTAGGCTGGGTATTGTTTTATACTTGCAGCACATCAGAAATCTAGTGATTGCTCAGATCAGATGACAACATTTTGTAGTGAACTGCTCTAACTCTAGAAAAAACTATTTATACACTTGAAGCAGCTCTGCAGACATGGAGAACTGGAACTGGGCTGAAAGGGTGAATATGTTTTCTTACTGTCAGCTCTTACTTGATCACAGTGCAGTCAGGGAGCTGTTTTGGGTCTCAAAAAGCAAATATGTTGCTGTATTTTATGCCTCTTTACAGAGATGTCTGAAGATGAGCATCCTTCTTCCTTTCACTTTAGTGCACATCAAACATTGAATGAAACACTTCCTTCTTCAGCCATTCTACAGGCAGGTCTTCCCACAGTGAGTGGTCATGAGGGAGCCTAGAAAATAGCAATCTCTTTCCCTAAAATCTGCTTCTCAGCAGGAATCTTTTCCTCCTTAGCACAGTAGATTGCAAGTAGGCATTCTTGAGAATCAGATTGCCTGCTTCTCACCACCTTTTATATTTTGGGGAGCATATGGTGGCTGACGCATTTCCTGATGAATACTCAAAAATCACATCGGTTTGGATCCAGGACCTCTGATTACCTACATGAAGCTGCAGACAACTCATTTTCTTGCCGTTCTGCAGCAATTTCAATGAACTTTGGAGGAACATGTTCTCACCTGGTAAGCAGGGAAACAGAGGTAGGGAGGAAGCCAATGTTTGCTCATTGTCTCCTACGCAGAAACGAATGGTGAATGTAGGTGGCTTTAGTTTCAGATAAATGTTTGCTCCCTGAAGCTGCCCTCTGACTTGACACAGCTTGTATAATACCAATCAGGTCATGATTTTAAATTCCCTTTTTCTGGGTCTTTTCAAGGCTGGTGGTTGAGACTCTCCCATATTCAAGGGTATATCATACTTCTAACTCTAAAGAGTTTGATGTGAGGAATACTGATTCAGCATTCTTTTCCTTTCATTTCTTGGGAAACAAAAGGTTTCTAAGGTTTCTGCAAGCCAGCCTAAAAATTTTCCCTTGTAAGGCTTCTAGAAAAAAATGTATTTTTTTTTTAAAAATGGTTATTAATATGGAAGTGATTGGACAGCTGTCATAGGAATTCTCTTTTGAATAGATGCCAACAATAAGGAAAAAATACTGCTTCATGCAGGTGATTTTAAAAAGCATTTTAGAATCTGTTCATCAGTTCAAAACTGCCAGAGGAGCCTAGTGCACCAGAGTGATCCAATGCCCAGAGCTGGGGCTGAGCCCACAGCCCCTCTCCAGGTCTGATCCTGATCCCACCTGCACACTGACATCTTGGCCTTGCCTGTGTACATATGGGAGAGAGCTGAGGCAAATTAAAAGTTAAAGCAAGCAGACAATTTTACTGCATTTTGAACAYTGGTTCAAAAACATTTGGTTTTTGTTGTTATTTTCCTCACATGAAGTTAGGTGATTCATCTCTGAACCATTTTTCTGCTAGCAGGAACTGCTGAGTGTTAACACATACRGCTGGGCTTCAGCAGGAGAAGGGTAGAAAACATGAATCAGACTAAAATTGGAGGATCCAAGCAACTGTATTTTTAAGAATTGTGAATGACTCTCAGTTCTCCCATTTCTAAAATGGAGATGGGCTTTAAGTGTTTGGGAAAGCCATGGTAATGTGAAATGAATAAATGCAGTGCAGAYAGGTGTTCATGTGRGAAASTTATAAGGAARAGGAGGAMTAGGAGAAAGAGTTCAAGAAGAACTTGAATTATTCTCAATATGAATAGAAACAACTGAACACTGAACCTTTGCAAGGTGCTTTTCCTASGCCTTGAAATGTCATCTATGGTGGCCACTCTGCTTTGTCCCCCAGAGCCAGATTAAATATCAAAAAAGGGGCATGCAAGAATTGAAAAGGACATGCAATAATTGAAAAGCTACYCTGATTTTGCTATTTTGTTTGTTGCCTTGCTGGTACTAAGTTTAGTTTGGGTTACTACATATTTTTGCAAGTTAATAAGCATCTGTTAGTGGTTATACTAATCTATACTTTTCATGCTGCCTGGGAAGTGCTGTAAGGGGGCTTTCAGATCTGATCTCTTGCAGAGTGAGCTGGCTCACATTGATAGCACCTGCAAGAAAATGGTTCTGTAGGATTTACTAGCAGATTTTTTTTATTCTGCCACAGGTCACTGTCCATACTGACAGTGCACGCAGAGAAAGACAGCCTGGAATACGATTGAGATCCTGCTGTTCTTGATTTCACTTCTCCCAAGGTGAGGTAGTGAAGCTGGCTGTAATTGTGATGGTAAATGCAGAAGAGAAAGGGAGAATCTCTCCAGTAAGGATACTCCCTATTCATTCTTTTTTATGTCTGCATTGCAGGGAAATGTGCACTATTTCCATGTATCTTAAATAAGCTTGACCATGACTAGAGTAATGACCTCTGGTGCCTAATTGAAGTTTTTTATGCTGCTAATCATACAAGAAATAGCAGGTTTTGGGGAAGAAGAGTGAACTGTGAACCACAGTATTTGGTTCACTACTCAATGAGCTGATGCAGTATTCAGGTCTCCTTGTAGGTCTTGATTATTCTTATATAATTCTGCCTCTTCCCCTAATAAACATCATTTGACTGCTTATATATGAAATAGTCATGAAATGAAATAATCWTCTTAGCAAAAAGGAAAGGGAATAATGAACTAAACACATTAAGTRGAAAATCAAATCAGTAGGAGTCCTTAAAATATGTAATTATTTTAATTTAGCTTCAAGTTGCTCAGTTTAACATTTGRAGGAGAAGGAAAGACTCAAAAGTGGAGTGAGMCAAGGACTAAAACAATGTGCTTCAGTGTTGCTTTTCCTCATGAATGTGGTTGGTATTATAGTTGTAACTGTTATAGAAGATTTAGACATACAGCTGTGTGTGTGTAAGAAATAGTCTTGAGAATATGAAGTTACAGGCTGGAGGACAGTGTGCTGTTGTGATGCATTATTACTCTTGTGAAATAAAGTTTGCATAGAATGGGGGAGGTAGAAAGGCTTCTGTCTCAACACAAGTACTGGCATGGCATTGGTGATTGAAGAGCTGGTGAGTATAAAAACCTGCTTAGACACTGYAACAGGTTTAGTTTTTAAAGGACATCAAGGGTTCTACCAGATCTAGATGGGATGGAGCAGACACACAGTCACCCACCTGAATGCAGGAAACTTTAGGGGATGTTGATAATTTCACCATTTAATTCTTTATGCCCCCTACTACTATACGGAGTAAATGTCATACAGTCAATTTCTCTCGCCTTTGTAAAATTTCCAGTGAACCTTCCTTTATAAGACATCCCACTTCCAACATGATACAAAACCCCAGATCCAGATTTGCTGAATTTACCATGTTATTGGCACTCTCTGCCACATCAGGTACAAATGCAGCAATCTGACAGTGCTAAACTATTGATAGCCATTAAACTTCAAGATAAATGAATTAGGAATTCCTGACAGACACACAAAACTATACACAAAATTGTAGCTGGTAAGAATGTATGTGTGCTAATGGGGTAGTCACCACATTGTGGATAAAGAGCTTTGCATCACTTTGTGCTGCAGCCAAAGCTTTYATGTACAGAAACTGCTGTGACTTGATCTGTAACATGGAAAAAGAGCAGTGAGCAGAAATTGTGATTCTTCTTTTCATCTTCAGATCAAAATATGAAAAGAATRGTGCTTTCACATCTCTTGCAAACTCAAGCTCTGTGAATTTTTTCCATGTACTGAGTCATATGAACAGATTTTACACTGTATGCTTTATTTAGAGTGTGGTCTGTTTCTGTGTGGCAGAGACTTACATGAAGCTCTGTGCTCTCACACAAACCGTTTAATCTTTGCTCTTCATGTCTCATATTCCAATGATATTGGAGAACTTTTTGCTATGTTAACAATTGAAAAGTGTTTCAGAGAAGGTAGCCCATTCTGAGGGGGATAAAGTATGTACTGTCTAATACTTCATACATAGAAGTGTGCAAAGTCTGGAAAATTTAGGTTTGGAAGTACAGCAAAAAATATCCCTGAGAGTTTCACAGTAGCCAGAGGTATAAGCCTCGGTGGGAGAAGCTACGGCACAGCTTGCGTTTGTGCTACCTCACTGCTTTTGATCTATTTTATTTAAAGAATGAAATTCTGTTTCCTTTCGTATGTAATGAAAAAGGACCCTCTGAAGACTAATACTGAGTTTCCTGRCTCACGTTAACTTTAAAGGAGAAATTTTAATTTACAAAGAAAACCAAAACTTTCGCGTTCTCGAGGTCCGTTTGCTGGCAGGACTCGGGATTTCTTGTCCGTTAGCTACTCAAATCCAACTCTTGGCGACATGACATTAACAGGCAAAAAACAGCCACTCCCACGTCCTCACAGTTGCAGAGAAGGGACGATTTCGTAACAGACAAAATTTAAAAAAATCACATTCTMTTTCACCCGAGAAACGCAAGACGGATCGAGGGGCGGGGCGGGCGGAGCCATCATCGCCCTCTGCGCTGCTGTAAAAGGGGGCGCCGGGGGCCGCCTGTCCCCTGTTCCCTTTGTCGCCGTCATGTCCGAGACCGCCCCTGCTGCCAAGGCCGCCAAGAAACACAAGAAAGCAGCGAGCGCCTCCCAAGCCCGCGGGGCCCAGCGTCACCGAGCTGATCACCAAGGCCGTGTCCGCCTCCAAGGAGCGCAAGGGGCTCTCCCTCGCCGCGCTCAAGAAGGCGCTGGCCGCCGGCGGCTACGATGTGGAGAAGAACAACAGCCGCATCAAGCTGGGGCTCAAGAGCCTCGTCAGCAAGGGCACCCTGGTACAGACCAGAGGTGTAGGTGCGTCTGGCTCTTTTCGCCTTAGCAAGAGCCCTGGAGAAGTGAAGGAAAAGGCTCCTAGGCAGAAAAACGCTGCAGCAACCAAGCCTAAGAAGCCGGTGGCCAAGAAGCCCGCCAGCGCCTCTAAGAAGGTAGTGGCTGCAAAAGAGTCCCAAGAAAGTTAAGCCTGTAGCCAGAAAAGCAGCCAAGAGCCCCAAGAAGGTGATGAAGGCTGCCAAGCCTAACAAAGCGGTGACAGCAGCGAAGAGCCCAGCTAAGATGAAAGCGGTGAAGTCCAAAGTAGCCAAGCTTAAGGCAGCAAAGCTGAAAGCAGCCAAGCCGAAGAAGGCAGCGACTAAGAAGTAAGCCCTACGTGAAATCAGTCTTCCTTCACACTTAAACCCAATGGCTCTTTTAAGAGCTACCYACGTTTCCTTAAACGGGTTGAAATGCTGAGGCTGTGGCCTTTTTGGGGAAGGTAAAGAGGGGAGGGGCGTGGGAGAACGGCTGTCTGCTGGCTAATGTGCTGTTTCAGCTTGAGGGGTGCTTGAATTGGGAGGCAGGGTAACAACAACGCTGTGGTACCTTTCAGCATGTCCACAAGGTGCAAGAATTGGTTGCGGAAGGGTTGAACTGCTTACTTGGAGCAGGTAAGACAGCATGGGGCTGGTATTAATGTAGAGCTGCATCTGATACAAGTATTTCAAAACCGCCCGGGAGTTTACCCACTTTGTCGACATTCAAGCCCTTTTTCTGAATTTGTAGGTGGCTCTGAAAAGAGCCTTTGGGTTTCTCGTAGTAAAACTTCCTGGACTTTGTTCTTCGGCGCTCACTTGGCTTTAGCCTTGTGGCTRTCGGTYTTCTTGGGCAGCAGCACGGCCTGGATGTTGGGCAGCACGCCGCCCTGCGCGATCGTCACCTTGCCCAGCAGCTTGTTGAGCTCCTCGTCGTTGCGGATGGCCAGCTGCAGGTGGCGGGGGATGATGCGCGTCTTCTTGTTGTCGCGGGCCGCGTTGCCCGCCAGCTCCAGGATCTCGGCCGTCAGGTACTCCAGCACGGCC